ATTTATGAATTATGAAGGGTTCATGAGGGAGTGGGGAGAGAGGGGGGAAATGGACAGCTGATATTAGGGGCTAGAGTAGAAGACAAATGTTTTGAGAATGATGAGGGCAGCGAAAGTACAAATGTTCTTGGCACAATAGATGGATGTATGGATTGTAATAAGAATTGTACGAGCCCCCAATAAAATGATTTAAAAAAAAAGAAGGCGGAAGAGTCCACTTAGAACAGAATGAAGAAGTGTAAGTACACGTGCCCTTGCCTACTCGGTAACAAGAGCTATTCTTTTTCCAAGGGTTGCCCAAGCTATCATTGGTTTGCCATATTGCAGGTCAAAGAGCATCTTTTTCTGGCCATTCTCCTATCATAATTACTTAATGCGGCTGCTGAGCAGGGCAATAGGATGACAAGCGGCTAAGAATGAGCACAAAGACAAGTGGCGTACAATCAGTTAGGCGCTCTGAGTGTGGGGCACCAACGCATGGGTGCGACTTGTGGTGGAGCTGCACTCACACGGGCTCGTCACACCAACAGTGGCCAGAGTGCTGTGTCACTGGAAAAACTCTTGATGCCATCGCCTGATACCCCAGGGGGATGACTAACAATGGTTTTCTGTTTTGTTTCTTTGGGCTTTCGTTTTCCTGTCTTTTGTTTGCTGGTTGGTTCCTTGCTATTGTTGTTGCGGTTGGTCTTATGGGGCTTTGTTTTTGTCCTTACACGACTACCAAAATAAACCTGCGTCATGCATAACTCAGATGAGTTCTGGGTTCCCACTTAAGTCTAGCCCCACTCCCAGAAGAGTTAATTCTGATAATATGGCCTCCTCAATACCACCTTCATGAAATGATAGCTGAAGGTGCTACAGCGAAACGTGGTGAAGAAGGCAGAGGTGTCCAGCTATTAACAGAAATAGTGTCTGGAGTCTTAATGGCTAGTATTCAAACAAGCAGCCATCTAAGTGAGGAGTCAACGAAATCCACATGGAAGAAGCACACCAGCTCGTGTGATTTAAAGACAACAATAACAAAATCCAAATATGAGCTGAGCTTAAGTTGGGAACACCCAGTCTGTAGAAGCTATGGAGGCTAGTGGGAGCCTAAAACCCATCTGCAGTTTAGCCACTCAGATTAAGACACTGGCAGATCCCCGCTAGCCACAGGCAAGAGTCTCAAACAGCTTTGTTATCAGACAGAGATGACTGTAAACTTAATTAGGCTGCATTGAACTTCATACTTGGTCAGTTGACCTCCCTTCCCTCTTGACCCAACCTGAATTTGTTCTAGGCTCAAGCATTTCTTGCTTATTCCATGACAACATTTTTTTCTCTGGCTTTTTAAATATTTTTTAAATTTCGTATAATAAATTAACTCTCTTACTCATTATTTGTATTTTTATCTTCATATTATTATTTTATCCTTACCACTTTGTTTTTTATTGCTTCTAACTGGATTCCCAGTGTGTGAAGCACAGAGGGGTAGATGCACAGAGATAATCCCAGAAGCAATCACTTATCAGGGATTGGCAGGTGTGGGGTGGGGTGGGGAAATAGGGGTAAGGGATTTGGGGGAGCAAACAATGAATGTGGGAGGGTGGAGGGAGGGAGCATAGTGATGTTGTATATATAACTCTTTAAAAAGGGATTTAACAATGGAAATGTATGATATGTGAATACTATATCCAGAAAACCATGAAAAAAACCAAGAAGAAAACAAACTTGGACCAATGGTTACCATAGGTGAAGGGGACAGAGTGGGTGTGTAGGGCACAATGAGTTTATGCCAATGGTGGTATCAATAATGACTGTACAACACGAAGAGTATAATCAATGACAATGAATTATACAAGTAGAAGTTGTGGGATTGGGAAAAAAAAAAGACAAGTGGTACAACCAATTAAAGATGATCTTCTACTTTCAACTTGATTACCACCGTCATGTAACTCAGGATAACTTTTATGTGAGTTATGCCATCCAAACTATGGGCACAAAAATTAATGTTAATTAATACTTAGACTCACTGAAAAGATTTTAAAACCTGGGTGTTTCCCCCAAAATGCCATTCCCAGGAAGGGGCAGGTTAAAAACATTTCCATCCATTTACTGTGTCAGCTACTATGATAAATGCTTTTACTCATTACTTTGCTTCTTCCTTAACTACCACCCTACAATAGAGATATCCATCTCTGCTCCTCTTCCGCCCCTGCCCACCAGCTTTTTTTACAGATATTGAAACCAAGCCGAGGGAGGTTAGGTACCTTGCCTAATGAGCGAGTTAGCAAAGTGCATCTACCAAGACAGTACGTAGCACAGTGCGACACTCAAGAAATAAGAACAGAACACGGAGAAGCAGTTCCTCAGTCTCTTAACACTCTTGGCACAAGACAGCACCAGCACTTCACCAGTATTATACCGTACGATGGGTTAGAGTCCACATATTAAGGGCGGTCACCAAGGGAACAAAGTCCAAGGCCCTGACAAACCAAAATATAGGATGAGGCAGACGTTCACCACCAACCAGAGGTTGCCTTTCTGTTCCACGTCAGGTCTGTAGAGAGTGGTTGAAAGCACCCAAAACTAAAACTCGAGGTTTT